TGTCTGAATGTCTGTTAGAAAACATATTCATAGCAATTAAAGACGTATTTTGTAGCTATCATTTACTTAGTTACATTTTGACCTTTCATCGTAGTAAAAGCAGAGATGTTCCTGATCATTCTAACAATGTCTCTGTTCTATTCCTGGGAAGCCATGCCAGTGTTACAGTGAGACAGAAATCACAGGCACCTTTACAGCTTTAAAAAAGGCCCACTGCCGTGACCAGCACCTATTTCATTTTGTGCATTTGCCAAGGAACTGATTTGTAATTTGTTTTGAGTGTCTCTGCAGCAAAGAAAATTGCTTAACATATTCTAGCCTGTTAACATGTCTACCCTTGCTTGCTACTTTTTATGTTTACTCCTGTCTTCATCTGCCCTCTGAAACATCCTTCATAAGTAAAACATAAGAGAGCAGGAGCACTAATGCTGCTACTAGCCATTAAGAAGCACTGTATTTACTGTAAATGTATCATGCATGAGCCGGTAGGTTTCTTCCTCCTGACAAGCACAACACTTGGCCTACATGCGGCTGTAGCTACTGTGAATTGCATGTCTCAGAGAGCTCTCCAGTTGACACTGCAAATTGCATCCATGGCACTCTCATGACTGTTGATTGAATGTAATTAAATTTTCCTCCTCTGCAAATGAAAGGATTTTTTTACTCCCATCTGTACACACTTGGTTGGAAAGAATGGAGAGAAGAGGCTCTTTATGTGTGTTTGGTTAAGATGATATCCAAATACATGTTTGGTGAACATCTCTCACAGAAGAATAATTTATTACATCTGTTTCAGTATGTCAAAGACATCAAGATAAAAACCTATATTTTAATAACATATTGTTCTGCTGTATGATGGAAGCTTCTTTTTGTCACGCTTTCTACTGCATACCAGAGAACCTCGAGCAGCCTCCTCTGATAAACAATGCATGAGCTATCGCTAACTAAATGCTGGGTTTGATTGCTGTGCTCTGGTCTAACAATGGCGACATCTTGGGTGCTAAACTCTGTTTTCTTTTTTCATCTTAGGAGAATGAGCTTCAAGATTTCCTTCAGGAGAACAAGCACTTGAACCTCCAGTTGTTCAACAACAGCCACAAGGCATCTGAGAATGAGAAGGTAAGAGGCAAAATGGCTTTGCTTTTTTTTGTTACTATATTGTGTAAACATAGCAGTGCTACAGAAGCGTATGCTCTCACATCAGAAAATAGAAAATGTCACGTTATAAGGTGTAGGCTGAAATATCCAAGTTATTATTGCCATGGAATTTTGTACTGACACTCATTGTCACCAGCTCTGTGACTTGTACTTGTTGGTTACATCTCGAATATTCCTCAACCTTTCATTACAAGAAAATGTTGGTTTCTTCAGTACTTTGGTAAATGACCAGGCACTACATAAGTAACTAGAGTAGCAATCAGCTGCACATACCTGCATCAAGACCCAACAGTCCCCTTTAATTCAGTCAAGCCTCAATGTTGAAAAAAGGAAATAATTACTGCAACTGCCCCTTTATCCAGATCTGTTCCAAAATGTGACAGGCTCTGTCTTGGCTAATATCCCATCCTTTCATCAAATTCTGAGGAAATCCATTGTCTAGTTTTTGCATAATCCTGACGACAAACAAAGCAATCAACCAACCAAAAATGGACAGGGCTGAAAATATACCTCCAAGGCAGAGTTAATGAGATTCCCACTTGCCTTTTTGGTGCTAATTAGCACTTCATACCTGGTAAACATCAGCATGTTAGCGTTGGCATTTTAAGCATATAAGTAATTTGCCTTTTGCACAAAGCATCGGACTACAGCCTCACAGAGCTCCTTATGTGGTTGTAGAGTCTCAATGTTGGGTCTTCATAGACCACAGCCTCTCTGGTCCGACAGTAACACTGTATCACATGACTCTTTCATACTATAACTTTGCCAAAACTGCTCGAGGATGCTGGATAAAATGGAGATGTTTTCCCACTTACCTGCATATCAATGCAAGCAATAAGCAATTAAATTAAAACCTCACTTTCCTTCAAGGCTCAAGACCTCAAAGATCTTCAGAGCTGATAACACAAAGTCAAAGTAGATCAACATACAGCGCACAGGGCCTCTCTGTGGACAGGAAGGCAATTTCCTGAAGGAGCTGATTGGCAGGTAGTCGCTTTCGGGGTTGAAGAAGGCTGAAATGCTGGTTATTGATGTTTTATCAGGACTAGGATAGCTCTCGGAGCAGCTATCACACTGTCGGATATGAGAGCAGCACTCTGCAGGGCAGTGCGGATATTAGCCCTCGCTTATACCTCCTGTGTTCTGATCCCTATCGTATCTGAATGAACTAGGTGGGGCGGCATATGGCACCTCCTTCTTCCCATAATAGACTTCGAACTGCTTCTGCTAAATCCAATTTAGTTATATATTTATAATATAGTCCTACCCATGCAGATAGGTTTTAATGGGAGTGGACTGGATGGTGGATTCACAAACAAGTTTCTGTTTGTGTTTTGCTCTGTTGGTGTTTGAAATGCCCTCCTGGAGGAGTCATTAGTCATTCATAGCAGGTCCAAGGAAGAGGTTTTACCACATTATAGCTGCAGGAACCAGTCATCTCACTGCAGTCCTTAAAAAATATTAAGAACAGTACAACTGGTGTAGAGTATGAAGAAAATGTAGAAATGGAAATAGAAACATTTGTCATATATTGTTCTCATCAGCAGTATCGATCTTGTTGGTGTTGAATTGATGTACAGTGTTAATAAATTGTGATTGTTTCACTCAGTTAAATGCATTGTGCTTAGTTAACAATAAAGCATGAATAATGAATTAATGGTTTGGTCTGCAGCCACTGGAATCTGTGAATTACTCTTTTATTATAACAGTATATTGTTATAATAGTATTTTATCACAGAAAGCAGCCAGCTCCAACATCTGACCTTTAACAATTTCATTTTCTGCCTGTTTTGACTGCTTGGAATAGGTTGAGTGACATTTAAAAAAATCTTTCTTTAAACTATGATGTGTGAAATCAGCACTTCAATACCAGAAAAACAGCTCTAAAATGTAATTCAATCCAAAGTAACTGCTCCACTTTTATACAGAATAATATATTCAGTTGTAAATATTGTATTATAGATGCATTGCTTTGACTGTGTAGTCAGTGACTGGAGGACGTTGTGGTGTTTCTCTGCCCTAGAAAGGAAAAAGCTGCAATTGTCATGAATTAATATGAGCTATTTAATTTAAAATAACAGAAGTCAAACGTCAAAGTTAATTGTTTTGTCATTCCTGCCATATTTACAGGACATAGACAGCTTGTTGATTAATTTTTGACCATCCTCACACACTATATATATATTATACTATATATATGAATATTATATCTGTACAGGAGAGTAGTTCCTGTCTAATTCCACAGATACTCCCTTCTCTCTCTAAGCCGTACCAAACATCAGGTAATAGATAAAGGCCCAACCAACGGTGCATTGCAGTGTCTACATTGAGGGACTTTCATATCTAACTCAGATGCCCCAGACAGAGAGGAATCACCTTTAACTCTTTTGCATATTTCACTGGTGGCAAGATGTAATGACACAATGTGATTGAAGAATGCATGCTTTAGGCTTAACTATCCAATATGATGTGAACACCTACATGTAACATAGAGAGAGCATTTCTAGCCTTTCATGGATGTGTTGTTGGAATGGGTGACACAAGTAGAGGAAGATATATGGGAATGCTGTGGGAGACATCTTCAGATTCGGGGGTGACAAATTCTCATAGCATCTGTATGTTCCATCTTCTGGTCTCCTTGTTGCATCAAGTCTAAATTAAAATCTTCTGCATAAGACATCAGCTGCTGCCTGAGTTCTCCTTTTACCAGCCTCCAGAAAACTTCATGGTGTGGAAACCAAATACAAAAATGCATCCGATTGAAACTTTTAACAACCTGCTTTGACCTACTGAAAACAAACTGTAATGCATCTCTGGTCTGTGTCACTGAAACTCAGCCACTCTGCTCCTTGCTTGTTGTGTCTGCGCAGGTGAAGTCTGAGTATGCCCAGCTCAAAGAGGCCCTTGGTGCTGTGACGCAGGAGAGAGATTTAGCCCTGTGGGAGAGGAACCAGCTCCAAGGCAAACTGGAGAACCTAGAGCAGGTGCTCAAGGTGAGGAAGCTGGCTCCAAGGACAGATGCTGTCTGTCAGTTCTGTGTGCATTTCTAGTTGTAGTAGTCCATCTGCTGGGATCCTAATTCAGGTGTTTTAACACAGCCTAACCCTTTGCCGGTAGCCCTTCTCCTACCTGTGCTACACTGCCTCCATCTGGTTATCTTCTGCAATACTGTCTAATGTCCCTGACATGTCTGTTGCCTTCCAGTGTCGTGTTGGGAGTTCTGACCAGGAGCTGTGAAAGAGTAGAAGCTTGGAGCAGTCTGCCCCTCTTTCCTTTCCTATTGCACCCTTTCATGTTGTCCTACCAGCCCTAACCTTTCCTTTCCTGCCTGTCCTCTCTTCCCCCTGCTAGATTTATAAGGTATCACTGCTATGTCCTTCTGTAGGGAGCAGTCCTATTCAGTCCCATTCTGAATGCTTTCTGTCACCCTCAGTGGCTGTGCTTATCTTTCCCTTATCCGTGGGCTGCTTACTAGACATTACGAATGGTCACCTGGCTATATGACCACAGCACTGTTGAATGTAATTTTTGCATGAGGCAGGACAAAGAGTTTGGCTTTGTGACGACGGGAGGGGGAGGAAGAGGAGATAGAGAGAGTGGGTCACCCTTCACGATGATAATGTCACCTTCAAGTTTGATGACATTACCTATCTTAGACCTTAAATTCTTACTGGCATGAATAAATGTCATTTGCTTCTTTCACCTTTACAGTGTCGCAAAATATTCACATAGTGGGAGCAGTGATGTGACTGGATGACACAGGCATATTGTATTATGAAGAGTCCCTTGTATTGTGTGGCTTCTTCTGTTGTTGTGGATGACCACAGACAAGTGAGCACGCTATGGAGTTTGCTCACCCTTTTCATGTAACATTAAACCCTGTATCGATCACACAAAGCCAACATAGCTGAGGACAGCTTTTCAAAGAGTCCTCGTAACCAGACTTCTAACAGGTATTGTGTTACCTAAAGGGGGCAGCAAACCTGACTGTGGATTGATGTTAGTGTGTTTTTTGTTCACACAGCAAAGCACCTCTAGTCCTCATCCATGAGCACCATCGTGCAAAAATTGATCTCTCCTGCGGATCACTTGACATAAACTGTTCTCACATGGCATTTGCTGTGGCATAGTTTATGTCTCTCTCTCTTGTTGTTAAGGGTTTTAAGATCAGCACACTGTTACTCAGCCTCTGTGTGTGTGATGTGTGTGCACATGTGACACCTGTGTTGCCTCTGAGTGTTGAGTAGACAACTGGAGATTTTTGCATTTTGTGTTGGCTCAGTGCCGTTTGGATTTTAGCTCCACTAACAGCAGCCCTCTCTATGCTCCCCCTCCCCACAATCCTCCCCCCTGGTCTCTCCACCCCTGCACCTCCTGTGGACAGCATATGCGTGAGGCTGCAGAGCGGAGGCAGCAGCTAGAATTGGAGCATGAGCAGGCCTTGGCTGTACTCAATGCAAAGCAGCAGGAGATTGACCTTCTTCAGAAGGTAAGAAAACATCACACTGCACAGCACCAGAGGGTTGGGCTCTCTTGTTTGCCCAACCTGTGTCTGTGTCATGGGGCAAAGAGCGTTTTGTAGGGCACCGGTGCGACACATGTGGTCCGACAAAGGTGAACGTCAACTCAAACTTTATTATAGAAAACAAAGCATAGAGTAGTGCACTCAGACAGTCTACAGCACTCACTCGCTCCCAACGAATCCTTTCAACCCCATCCTTCAGCTGTCTATCACTCTCCAAACCCTGAGTGCTCAACAATTCAGGAGCACTCCTCTTGTTTGTTACGAGCGACCAAATCAAACATTCAAAACGCAGAGTGGATATGACACTTTTTGGAGTCTTACTTGGACAAAAAGAAAATGCTGGCCCATCAATGGTTGGTCTTCCTCTTCTGTGCACTGGAGCTGACTGTAATGTCAAAGCAAGCCTAGCAAGGGCCGAGATTGCTGATAGTGTGAACGTGATAGGAATTGTCACCAATGCCTCTTCCTCTAGACACTGTGCGTGTGTGTGTATGTGTGTGTGTGTGTGTGTACCCCAGTGTTGCTGTTGCTGCAGTGTGGCTCTAACTTCCCAGTCAGCCTTTCACAGGCAGAGTTCTCAGCTTTTTTCTCTCATTAACAGAAGCTCATTACTGCCTTATCTTCCCTCAGACACTGGCTGCTCTCTGCATTCTCCTAAATTAATTGCCTGCAAAGTAGATTTATGAAAAGTCCACAGATGCTCCCATATTCTTGTGGAATGCTTGTTTTTTTCTCAACAGATGTTTCGGGTTCCCATAAGAAAAATGGCATGTATAATGTTATGTTCTGATACAGTTCGATGCTTCTATAAAATCTAAACCTCATTCCTCTTGAATGCATTATGTACAAAATGATGTTTGTTTGTTTGTGAACCACTGAAATATCCACCTTGACAACACAGTCTGACGCATATACAGTGAGTAAACAGTTGGCAATTTATTAGGTACACCTAAGCTAAAACTAAAACATCCAATACAGCAGTCCTATAGTAGATCATACCCTCATCAAACTAAACATTATCCTCTGCATTAGTTTCAGCTTGGCGTTCCTAATAAACTGCCAACTGGGTAAACTGTAGCTGTAATTATACACCTGTTTTAGCTGGGATTACCGTGTCAGGACATACTTTGTAGATCATGGGTCTTAAACTCAAATAACCCCGGGGGCCAGTAGCGAAGTTGTTCTTTCCTCGGGTGGCACATGAACTCTCACTTGGAAAAAAAACTGGTGCTGAGAAGAAACTCCTTAATGTTGAAGCAATAACTCTCTTCAACTCTCGGCCAGAAATCTAATAGACATAGTTCCCGTTAGGCCTACTATGTCTTTAAATGTGAAATAAAAGCCACGTTCAGTTCTCCAGGTGTAGTTATAGCTCAGGGGAACATTGCTTTATATTGGTAAAACCAAGATGAGAAAAAAAAAGCATTTAAATATAACATAAATTATTTTATGGCTGGATGAGGCCCCTGGGTCAGTAGTTTCAGGCCCCTACTTCAGATGTTCTCTGGCAAATGATATTCACACAGAAGTGTAGTAAACTGATAAATGCCTTCTTTCTTGCATGTACACAATTGTTTCATGTTGCATAACTCACTGTTAAATTGGCTTAAAAAAGCATAAATTATAAAAGGTGAAAATGGTGAAAGAAAAGACACTATATCTTTAGCTGGTTGTGGCTGAGTAAAACAATATCTCTGCTTAAATGAAGGCACTGTAAGCAAATGTTAAATAAAGTATGTAATGAGGAAGAAGAAGTAAACTCAATGTTTTGCTTCTTGTATTCTGATCAGAGATGGTGGCTTTCTTTTAAACCATTTCACCCTGCAGCACCAATGAATGAGAATGTTTCTGTTTTGTCTGCACAGGCATTTCATTGGTGTTATAAACTGCAACTAAACTGTAATATAAATGAAGGTGAACTGAAACACTGCACCCTGTGTTTCCTAGGCTCAGGTTGAGGCTAAAAAGGAACATGAAGGTGCTGTCCATCTGTTAGAGGTGAGCGTCTGGACTCGGGGGGGCGGGCGGGCTTCACTGTGTGTTTATGTGGTTTCTGCTGGAGTTTAAGGGACGAGTCAGCCTGAGGCAGACCTGTGTAGACGTAGAGACATGTCCTGCTTTTTTTTCTTGTCCTTGTACCTGAATTTTTCTGTTCCGTTTTTACCTCTCTTTTTTGTATTATACATAAATACTTGGTTGAGCACATTTTTTAAAACATTATTGTTAAATGGACTTTTGAAGTACACGTTCAACCGTATTTTCAGAAAAAATTAATAAATCAAAAAAATTTGAGTGACAGTATCTATCTTTTTTTCGTCTTTCTATTAGCTGTATAATAGGGTGATATGTATGAGTGTCAAAGCAGCCCGTTATTTCAGGTGCTTTGAAGATGTGTAAATTGAAATTGAAATTGTGCTTTATTTCTTTCTTACATCTCTGTACGGGTGTGTTTATGCTTATACAGAACCACTTGGACAGCATGCAGGTATTTCAGAATTGCTTTTGTCTACTTACTTGATATTTCTTTTGCTAATTTAGTCACTATGGTTTAAAGTCCACACATTACTTTGGCCCAGGATGTACAGTGAAGCGTGCGTGAAACTTTGGGTTTTTACAGGGTTTCTGCAGGATCTTAGAAATTAGAAAGTGTTCTATGTTGAAAATATTATTTACTGAAATTGGTCTTGGTAGGTCTTAAACACATTAACGTTCATTTAACACTACTTATGTCACGAAAAATGTTTTGGTGGCATGCATAGTTTGCAATGTCTCCATGTGTTGTTCCTTTTCAACAGCATAGATATTAACATGCTTTTGTAATCAAACCACAAACAAGACCAACATGGAACTGATCATCGCATCTACAAACTCTAGTCAGAATTAAGCTTGGTATACTCAGCTCGTCCGTGGGAGACTATGGATAACATGGTGTTTCAAGGGTTATTCTCTATTCTGCTACTTCACCTTATCTTCCATTATGGGGAAGTGAAAATAATTTTGGGACTCTGACCAATGTCACACTTGAAATTGATCATTCATTATGGTCTTGAAAATAACTTAAACTGTAACTTTAGTTAAATGAAACTTGTTGAAACCTGCAGAAAGCCTGTTTTAAACTCTTCTTTATAAGCAGAAAAAGAAAAACAGCAAAACATTTTACAAATCTGAGATAGATCAAAACTGTGCTTACACAATGCATAAGCATTATAACATTTCTTATATTGCTATTGATTAAATTTATATTGCAATAATTCTCCTGTAGTTCAGAGCTGCTTCAGCCCAATCTTTCTTGGCCTTTACCACAAATCCATGTTGCCCTTCAATACAATCTCACAAGGGCTTTTAGACAGATGTGATTGACAGCATTCACCAGACAACTCTCCCACATGATCATAAGGAAAAATTCAGCTACACTCACTTAACAATTGATGAAAAGATGCAGAAAGTTTCAGAATATGAATCCAGTACAATAAAAAATAAATGCGTGGGGCTTCACTGACCGACCTCAATTCCACATAATCAAAGACCATCATCACATGGAGGCATGCAAATTTAAATTCATCAGACCAGACACATTTATGAAGCTGGTGCTAAGATATAAACATACAAAAAATATAAAAAAAGGTAGCTACAGCAAATGAACCCAGAAAGTATATTACATTAGTAAAATTGCAGTAAAAAAAATTATGTATTGCAGATGTTTTAGAATTTGATATTGGTCATTATATCTCAGTATTGATGCATTCAGTAGTTAGTACTGTATTGTTATCAAAGAATCACAAACAGTAACGAATGTGATTCTTTCCCCTTGTAGCATTGTATGCATGTTCTTCAGCATGTGTTTTACAACCTGTCTACTTTGCATACACCTGAGAACTGTATGATGCTATAGACATTAATACAACTTCATTTACTAATTCTACTTCACAACTGCTCTAGTTCCTTTTGTCGTCTGTTTGCTAACAGCATGTGCTATCCAGCAACAACCAGTCTGCATGAAATGAACTGTTTTAACAGAACAGTGAACACAGTGCTGTTGCAGCAGGCCTTGCTGTGTGTTGGGCAGTGGAAAAACAATTCCACGGTAGTTTCAGCGTTTCAGATTGAGAAGTGGTTACTGATGCATGACATTGTTGAGAAACTTGCAAAATCACTGTAGCACCTGGACTTTCCTTTATTTCTGCCCAAACAAATATGTTCATGTTGTAAAGAGATGTTTCCTGCTCTTAAAGTATGGGTGATGATATTTTACATTTTTGTTATTGTTCACTGATCCAATAAAAACACCATAACCAACACTGGGGTGGCACTCATTAGAGCACACACCTCTGCCAAGGCTCAATAGTTCCCTTGATTCAGTATAGCTGCACCTAATTGGACACACAGATATCCGTTCCTTTAAAAGATTTTCCCTTGACACATACCACATTCTTCTGTCACATTTGGTAGACATCTGTGCTGTTGTGTATGTAATCCATCTTACGAACAAAAAAACAAACATACAAACCCACAAACAAGCAGACAGGGATGAAAATAACCCCTACGAATGCGTGTGAAGATTTAAATCTCTAAAAACAGATATTCTGTTGTCATTGATATGTAATTTGTAAAAAAACATACCAAAATACACTTTCATTTTATATTATATAACTATCTTCGGCTCTACGTTATATCTGCAACAGCAGAAGAGTGTAATAAGAATTGACAGCAAATAAACTACGTTTGCAACAGTGTGGCTCATTAATGTGTTCTTGATAGATTTTGGACAGCGGAGGCAAAATCCATACCAGACTTTGGCTACAAAGACAATACCTGTTCACGTTGTTGATTTTGGTCTTTTCAGGTTATACTTGACAATAAGTAAAAATATAGAATATCATCAGACTCATCCTCTAAGACATTGCAGTTTGGTTTATGCATACCACCCTAATAAGCCTTGAGGCTTTTTTATTTTTCTGTATTATGAGCAGTAAGTGTAGCTGTGCATGTGATTTGTAAACTGTACTGTCAGTAGTAGTTTAGTAGAATTTTCTCTGTGATGACTGATTCAGATGTTTTAAGTCCTATGATTTCATTCCTTCTTCTGTTTGTGTTTTTTTACAGTAGTGGTACATACAGTACCCTCTGTACATATGTGTGTTTCTGTGTGCAAAATGTTCAGCCCTGCGTCCTGTGCTTTCCTTATTTTTCTTTTGCTTCTCTCTTTTTAACGTCCTGTCTCTACCTCTCCTCCTAATCTGCCCGCCTCTCTGTCGTCTTTTCTTTCTGTCTCTCTCTTTCTGTCTCTCACTCCTCCGTCAATGACTCTCCTTCCTCGCCATCATCAGGCCAAAGTCCGTGAGCTGGAGGAAAAATGTCGGAGTCAGAGTGAGCAGTTCAACCTCCTGTCAAAAGAGTTGGAGAAGTTCCGGCTCCAGGCTGGGAAGTTTGACATCCTCAGCACGGAACCTTTAACTCTATGTGAATCTCCTGGGTCACCCAACAAATCCCTTTCTCAGCTTCTCAATGGACTGGCTGCCCCCATAGGAAAAGGTTTGTAAGGGATCTTTTTATTCCTGTATGTCTGACTGGTCATATGTTAGTAAGTAAGCAAAAGTGTTTTCATCAAAGAAAAAACATTATCACAGATATCCCATGGTGCATGGATCATCTTTTCAAATTGAGATGTAAAGATACAATTTTCCCTTCCTACTTCCAATTCAGATACTTGAACCGTGACTCTCGGCCGATACCAAGAACAGACCCGATACCTCTGCATTTGAAAGAATAACAACTTGAAGAACGAATTTTAATAGCTGTGTGCTCCAAACTCTGTGTGGAAGTGATGATTGCTATCATTGTTATTTGGCCTAGCTCAGGTTTAACACATACACACACATACAGAGAATTAATGACACAGGACAGTCATAACTGAAAAAGTAATGAAGTCTAGATCATCACAACAATTACTTACTATAAATAGCTCCAAACTGATGTGTTGCATTCAGTACAAGCTGCTGTTTTACTTGTGGGACTTTCCTCGCTCACGTTTCTGCATCTGGTTAATGCTACACTACCAGAAATCACTTATGAGTGGACTCAAAATGAGGTGAAAAAATTGCAGCTCCAGTTAGAAGTGTCAGTTCAGGATTCAGACTGTATCTGCAGTAAACACAGACTGCTAATGAATAATCAATCATAGTGTAAAAGTGGGTCCAGCTGACAGAACCTGTTCTCAAATACACAAATGCTTCAATAATTACAGTTGTATTTATCAAACAAGTCTTTGAAATGTAATTAATTATGTATGGTTATAAGTTGTTGGAAAGTGATGATAATCGTAAGTGGAGATCTCTACCTGAATGATACCTGGTTGAAAATATTAATAATCAGTTCAAGCGGTGGAAATTGATAGTGGGCAGGTACACTGATACCATATTTTGCAGGGTACAATCACAATTGTTTTTTCAAATTTGTGTCGCTTATTGAATATTTCAATGTTTCTATTTCTGTGTCCTTTATCTGTGTCTCTGTGTCTTAGTTAACTCTATTGTAATATGATTGATAAAAGTTCACTTTAACATATTGTGATATGAGGATCTGATGAGAGACATGTTTGTTCCACAGGCAATGAGGCTCCATCAAGCAGATCTTTGATATCGGAGTTCATTCGACCGCTCCAGATCAGTGGAGACAAGCCCGAGCTCCTCTCTGTCAAGCCAACATTCCTCACTCGCAGTCGAGCCAGCAGCCCGGCAAGGGCCTTCCTCTCTGAGGTATCCCATAATGTCCATTTTTTCTTTGCAACTTTCTTCAAGCTACACATAGTAACTATATCTCAACATCATAAATTACAACATGGGGCTGCAATAGAGAGTAATATTTTATAATTTCAGTGTTTTATTCTGCCCTCTGCTCAAAGTGAATCCATTTGTTAGGTATGTGAATGTCCACCAACACCAAGTAACAAAATGAAGAGTCTCCTAAACAGCATTGACCTCTACCCATCAAAGTTATATCAGCTTCCTCTCTCATAACTTTTGATCCTTTTGTACAGACTGCACTTTATAACAGTTTTTTGAAATATGCTCCTTGCTTAATCTGAGTAATGTGTTTGGGCTGAACAAGAGAAAATCTAAACAGCAGGGCTACATGGGGCTTCCTGGTTTTACTCATTCGACAGACTATTTGGTGCTGATCACAGTATTTGAGTGCGCAGGAGGTGAAAATATGAGATGAAAGAAATATGTTTATTGTGTGCTTAAGGAAAATAAAAAGTTGTTGGACCTGAATAAATGTTACGCTTTGGTTGTGAACATCTGAGCATTTATTCCAAAAAGTTGGTAATAAATTATTTTATGCTCTCTTGTGTTTGGAAACATGTGACAGGTAAACGTATTTGATGTTGGAAATAAGATTTGTTCCTTTTTTATTTTATGTAGATGGACAAAGAGTTGAGCTCAACCACCAGGTCCAAACCAAGATTCACTGGGAAGGTTCGTCTGTGTATTGCTCGGTACAGGTACGTAAACACAATACACAGTTACCTATTCTGTTACCTTTCACAGTTTATGTAGTTTCATTAGAAACCCTAAACATCTATCTACTAATTCCAGAAATATCTGTCAGTCTGTCTGTATGTGGAGCGTACAGTACTGAATATCTCGAGATCTGTTTAGGGCCAAAGGAAGTTCAGTGCTGAATGTGGTGCGATTTGTCCACAAAATACGTTCAATATTAATACAGTTTGAACAAACAGTCAACCAGCGCTCTGTAGCCGCGGCTGCTGTGACTCAACGTGAATTACGTTGTTGGGCGCTTGAAATGACCACTGCTTTTCCAGTCTGGGGTACTGAGCTTCACCAAACATTGGATAGGACCAGGAACAGGTGAACAGCTCTTTGTGCAGCAGCGGTGGCTTCAGGGTTCTGTAGACCTGTCCAGCAACCAGTCTTTAATTGCCACGCCTCAATCACTGCAGGTCACAAAGCTTCACGAAGAAAGCTGCAACCAGTCCCATTCCAAACAGGCAGGTTTATGACAGGCAATTCACTGGTAGACTAAATAATAACATGTTAATGTTGTTATGAAGCGGGGTTATAGAGGGTGATCATTAAGAGAGATGGCAACAATCCTGTGCATGCCTCTTTACAATAGACTGAACTGGCTGCTTAGTGTCCTGGACACATTTTGCTGAGATTCTTTTCTTACTCTCACAGAGAGTCTGTGGTCTTTAAGATGATTCAGTGTTTCTCTCTCTGAAGAAAATTACCTGTCAGCACAAAAATAATTGGAATTCTCACAGCACAAGAGTGTGAGCCCGAGCCAGAGCTTTCAACCCACTCTGTCTCTAGTTTTATTTGTAAACCCCCCAAACATTTTTAAAAAATGGGATCAAATTTAACACCCATCAAGGCAGCACTCTGCAAATCATTTCCCATGTTGTACATATAAGAGAATATGTGTTTGACATTTAAAGAATCCTTTAGCAGAGAAACTAAATGAAAATGTAATGAATATATCACTTTGACAGATTAATTGTCCATTTATGTTTTTTGCTGTAGTTACAATCCTTATGATGGGCCTAATGAGCATCCTGAGGCAGAGCTCCCCCTGGTGGCAGGGAAGTACCTCTACGTTTACGGGACAATGGATGACGATGGCTTTTATGAAGGTCTGACCTGACTTGGTTGTTGTTTGTTGTTTTGTTCTTAGTATCACTACAATACCATCTGTGTTTTGCTTGTTTCTCAGGAGAGCTGCTGGATGGACAGCGGGGCCTCGTCCCATCTAACTTTGTAGATTTTGTCCAAGATGAGGAGACATCGTCTGTCCAGCATAGGGGCACAGTGGCTAAACAACCTGGCTACCTCAACCACAGTAGCCTGGGAACTCAGAGACTGGGGGTCGGCACAGGAACAAGCATTAGCAGCCTGCTGTCTGACAGTAAACTAGACTGTCTGAGTTCAAGCAGCTTGGGCATTGACCTCATGGGTTCTTCCAGCAATGGGACGGGAACGCTGGATGTCAGCATTGACGAGGTCGGTGAAGACATTGTGCCTTATCCCCGCCGCATCAACCTGATTAAACAACTGGCCAAGAGTGTAATTATTGGTTGGGACCCCCCTGTGGTCCCACCAGGCTGGGGTTCCATCAGAGGCTACAATGTATTGGTGGATAAGGAGGTGCGCATGAGTGTCCCCTACGGGGGCAGGACAAAGTCTCTTATTGAAAAGCTCAATTTAGCTACCAACACTTATCGAATCTCAGTGCAGAGCATCACTGACCGGGGCCCTTCGGATGAGCTCCGGTGCACTCAGCTCGTGGGAAAGGATGTGGTGGTGGCACCTTACTACCTGCGGGTGGATAGCATCACGCAGGTCTCTGCTGAGCTCTCCTGGATGCCCAGCAACAGCAACTACAGTCACACCATCTTCCTCAACGGTGCAGAGTATGACATGGTCAAGGCCGGGGGCTACAAGTACAAGTTCTTCAACCTGAAGTCCATGACAGTTTACAAGGTGAAAGTTGTGGCGCAGCCGCATCAGGTGCCTTGGCAGCTTCCGATGGATCAAAGAGAGAAGAGGGAAATCTCTGTGGAGTTCTGCACTCAGCCTGCAGGTCAGCCTCCGAAACGTAACTCACACTCACACTTCATGTGCAGGGACTTTTTCACTGTGAGGTGAATAGATACAGCAAGACTTACTGTGATCATTCTAGCATGGCTCTAATGTTGATCAGTTGGTTGGTGGGATGATCCATCATTTGGTTCATATTGCCATTATACAGATATCCATAATGCCCAGAGCATGAATCCTAATGATCCCCTGACTCTTTCTCTAGAGCCTCAGTTTAGTTGATATCTTGGTTTGGGGTGAATTATCTCGACTGCTGCTGGATGGATTACCATGAAATTTGATGCAGACATTATTGCCCCCTCTTCCCCCCCAGGGTGAATTCTAATAACTTTGGTGATCCCCTGATTTTTCGACTGGTGCCATCATTAGGTCAGAATTATAATTTGCTCAATACTTTAGTTTCGATTTATAGCATTCCCATTACAATGAGCTGTATGTTTAAAGTGCTAATTTGCAAATGATCACATCATTCACTAAGATAATAAACATGGTAAACATTATACTGGCTTACCACCAGCATGTTAGCATTGTCATTGTGAGCATGTTGCCATGAACATGTAGCTCAAATCAGCACCCTACCTCAGACTCACAAAAAAACCACTTCCATAATCGGATTTTTATCACCATTTGGGGACAGTATAAATTTAAGATAAACTTGTTTGCAACTTGTTTCTTATTTACTCATCTTGCAAACACAAAGCGACATTAGCGTTCATTTATAGGAATATTTTAAGGCATCTGACAAATGTAAACCATTCACAAAATGTACTACTTAGTTTGTCTCTCTGCTATTTGGGGCTGAGCAGGTAACATATCTGCTGTCTGCTGTAGCTGGGGAAAAAAGCTGGTTGTGAGCACACACACCAGACAAGGTGTCTGCAAATTCTGCCAGTATGTGTTTTGGTATGTACCAATGACAAAGGTTTAAAAGTTTTAACATTGCTCTCTTGACCCCAATCTGATTGTTGCAATTGTTTAACTCAGTTCTGTTTCAAAGTCATGTCATGTTAATAATGGAAACCATCTGATAATTTACATCCAACAGGGAAATCTTTCTATTTACTCACACACTTCAAGCACATTACATTTATAAACCTGAATTCATCTCTGCCATTTAAATTTTCCCCCAGCCACTTTTAGATTGCCCTTTAAGATTTATGTATTTATATACTATGCACTACAGTGATAACACACATACATGGTAGAAAAACACTGAAGAATAGTGCAATGAGAAAACCTCGGAGAAGTATTTGCTGAATAGAGCCACGTAACACTGGGAGCAAGAGTCTCTCAAAGCCAAATTAGTGTAAATAGTGAGCATAGATTTCTTCTCCCTCGAGGCTTGTTGATGCTTTGCTGTTGCCAGCGTTAACTCTGGTCTCACAGCCTGGCTGTCTTGCTACAGGAAAGTGAGAGTGTGAACTGAGAACAGGCAGCTACAGTTTAGTGTGTGCGTCATAGTATAGGTATGATGTATTTAGCCAGATGGTTGCAGCTAAAAAAAGGTTCAAACATTTCACATTGGTTTTTTTCTATCACTATGTGCTCAGGGGTATGGGATTTCAATTTTTAATTGACATGGTAAGTAAACAGAGGTGTTGGGATAAGATGAAAGCAGTTTAGAAAATAAGATACAAACAGGATATAGAATATATATAAAGTAATGAGTATTAAAGGTTAAATAGAGGGAATAAAGGAAGGACACAGAGGGACTGAGAGAGAAAGAGAGGTGAGGACAGAGAGAGAACGATGCTGAAGTTTGAATTAACTTTTTCTGTTGGCAGCTGACAAGCAAACACGCCTGGAGTTCGTTAAATGATCTGTCTATTGAACATGTTAATCAGAGGCATCTGAACAAGTCTCAGTATTGTAGTGGACGACTCAATAAGGTGGCCAGTGTCTGGAGGGACTGTATTAAAGCTTTCAAACTCAGCATGTGCTCGTCAAACAGGCAACTTCATTAGTTGTCTGCTGAAATGTGATTAAGATTGCATTAATGTAGATTCTCTGACCCACACACAGCTGCACGCTGCAGCTCAGAGATACTGCTGACTGCATCTGCTCGCTCTCTCTCTCTCACTGTGTGACTGCAGGGGAGCAGCAGCATTGCACAGATGGGGTATGTTGTTTAGTATGCAGGCATCGCTGACAGATTGTGGAAATTGCAATGTGTCTGTGAGGTTGTTTTTTTTTTACATACCACAGAATATTGTCAGGGAATCCGGCAGCAGGATTTTGCACCACATACACTGATACGTGAATGTTGGCAAACTTGGCTTTTTCAACCAATGCAACGCTTTCAGTTGATATGCATATTAATGAATCTCGGGAAACTGCGTAGAGAGGAGTATGAATACAGAGAAATCATCAACAATATTTGAATATCATTAATACTCCATTCATCTGTCACTGGCTCATTGTATCAAAGCAAATGTCAGCTGTTGATCTCTGTGGAATAAGTGAAATTGAATTCATATTATGTTTACGATACAGTTCAAAGTAAAACACAAGGTTAGGATATGTGCAGTGTTTTAGAGTCATTCAACATGGTTCTCTGAATGAGGTTATCCTTACTTCATTCCTCAGTAAAATGGTCACTACATGTGAGATGTCCATAATGCTGAGGTCAGCACATGCATCTGTGATCAGATTGGCAGAAATGCTTCAGCCACTGTTGAGCTCTTTGTTTTTTCTCTCCTTATCCAGCGAGTGTGTTATGCTCCTCAGGGCCCCCTCTACCTCCCCAGGAGGTGCAGGTCCAGTGTGGTCAGACGCCCGGGTTCCTGCAGGTCAGATGGAAGCCGCCCCCTCTGACGCCTTCAGGAACCTCCAACGGAGCCAGTGTCATTGGCTATGTTGTGTGCACAAAGGGAGAAAAGGTACCATGTGTTACAAATGTTCGAACAAATTCTATTTTTGAGTCTTACAGAAGGTGGCCTTTACCTTCCTCCTTTACGATTCTGTCTGTAGTACTCCATTGCCATCTCCTGGAGAAAAGATATAATGCCTCTGGGGCTGTTGTGTTGCAAATTTATTGTGCTGGACCTCAAATTTATCTGTGTGTTATGATATTATGGAATAATCTGGTGTTTCTTTTTAGCCAATAGATAAGAGCTAGACATGCCTGTAGTTATGTCTTTATGGTGGTGTGGGTACAGTGTCAGTGCTTTTTCATCCTAACTTTCTGAACTGCCATTGGTAACTTTGGACTCTGGTTTCTTTGTGAATGCAGATTGCAGAAGTCTTGTACCCCACAGCAGATTATGTGACCGTGGAGTTAAACAGGATTCAGTGTCTGGAGGCCAGAGAAATCATTGTAAGGACGTTATCAACACAAGGCGAGTCCCAGGACTCTCCTGTGGCCGTCATCCCACACAATCTCTTGGGCTCTCCACGCCTCTCCCACCGAACCATGGCACCCCCTCCCCCTATGCCTCATCTGCAGTCCCATCCAGCGCACTCACAAACCCATCCTCCTTACCCGTCAACGTATCCCCCAAATCACCCTCAGCCCCAGATGCAGGCTCTGTCTCGACCGCAGCCCCACACGCTGCCCCACACGCAGTCGCAGCCTGTCCATCATCCTCCTCCTCAACCCCAGCCTCATTTCCAGCGCCACCCAATGCCCAAGTCCAAGCCGTTAGTAAGTGCCAGAGAGCCAGAAACCAAAGAGCATGAGGTGGGCCCGCGGCCAGCCCAGTCTTGGGAGCGCTCCCCGTCTCCGCTGCCTCCCATGCGCGGTCCCAACCTAGAGCCACCGCACTTTCAGCCACGGCGATCGCCCTCTCCTCAGAGGATCCTTCCGCAGCCTCAGGGAGTCCCCATCACCAACACCATCGCCAAGGCCATGGCCAGGGAAGCTGCCCAGAGAGTGTTTGCCGAGGGTAACAGGGTGTGTGGAGATTTTAGAATAAAGCAGTATTTATCTCATGTGACAGAATCCAGGATTTCAGCTTCCAACCATTCATTAGTATCATTTTCAGCATAGACTTGTTTATCTTTTGAAAAAGATACTAGATTTATTATGACATTGTTACATTTAATTATTACATTGTGACATTCAATTTTTTGGATCCCTTTCAAATGTAAAGTCTTACTTCTCTTGTCAGATTGAGAAAAGGAATATCTTTAGTGAACGAGGTAACACGTTGCATCCACTCAACTCTGACGAGGAGGAGGATGGATACGACTCTCCTCATGCGAGGAGGAGAGGAGCCTCGGTGGATGAATTCCTCAGAGGCTCGGAGTTGGGCAGACAGGTACTTAACAGTAAACACAACAAGCTGTGCTCAGCCAATCAGTGAGTGTACATTTGTAGCTACAAAGAACATGGAATCAGTTACTTACATGTTGACAAAATCAAACGGAATTAAATCTAATCTAATCTCTTCCTGTGAAGTTAAAGCCTTAAAGTTTATTTCAGAGTCTGTAAAGACTTTTTAGCTTTTGTACTACAGTTTTACCTAAATACTTTTAAAAGAAGTCAAAACAAATCCAATTGTAAACGGAAATTCATTTTGCTCACTGTTGTGCATGTTATTTTGAAAACTGTAGCTGACTACATTAACATGGACTCCAATTTTCTGACTATTTACCTAATTCAAAATAAGACATTATTCCAATTATCGTGCTTGAGTGCTAATAGAATATTCATATACCCGTTTACATGTTACAGTGCTTAGCCTGATTATGATTCATGTCATTATGTCGACCATAGCATTTTGTCCAGCAGTATAATTATTTGCCCCAACCTGAAATAGATTATTGTAAGATGTGTGTATAAAATGCTATGAACACTCCAATAGGATGTTATAATGCGATACATCTCTACATAATGTGACTGAGGTCAGAATACTCCAAGTATTAATTCGATTATTGCTTATTCTGAGTATGACCTTGTACTATGTATACATAGTCTATGTCCCTTGTCTCTTATATAAAGTTGGCTATTGCCACATAATCCAGCACCAAATATGTCACCAATTTAAAAAGATATGAATATAAAGTTAAGAACTTGTTGATCCCATCATAATATGTGTCATTTTGTCTCTCCCTCAGCACCATCATCACCACTACAGCCACAGTGAAGAGTACCACACAGAGAGCAGCCGGGGTTCCGACCTGTCCGACATAATGGAGGAGGATGAGGAAGACCTGTACTCTGAGATGCAACTGGAGGAAGGCCGCAGGCGCAGTATCAACTCTCACAACACTCTTAAGGTACTCAACTGCACGCCTTCAGTCTGTAGTGGCGCCCGGGGGAAGATAGAGGAGGGTGGGGAACATGAAGGGTGTAGAGAGAAACAGGGAGGGGAGGGTCTTGCCACCTGCAAATATACCCACTCTCTCTCACAGGCTCTACTACCAGGCCCATCGTGGCTTTGCCTGGCTGAGCTCCCGTGCTTTGCATTAGCTAAATCAGCCTCCCCACACAAGTCTGCTCCTCCACCTCGACCCTCCAGCACTGCTTATTCATTCAAGGCTGAGCTCATAGGAATGGCTGTGTATACATAACTGTACAGCATGAGAGAAGGAAAGTAAATCTTTTTTTTTTTTTTGGTTTGCCTTGCATTTTGATGCTCTCTATACTGCACTGAATGGAGTGTTAAAGTCAAATGTTAGAACGTGATATTGAATTACTAATTTTAATAATATACTGTACTGTATCAAAGGGTCATGGCATATCAAGGGCATATGGGAATCTCATTTAAGTGAGTACTTAAATGGAAATATTCGCTTTTGTTATGTCTGTCATGTCCTAATGTTTCTTTTTTTTCTGTTGTCGAAGTGGATGTTAACATTGTTGGTACATGATCCTGTGTTCATTTGGTCTGTCACTGGGGATATGTGGATATAAAGCCAATCTGCTCTGTTATAATGTGAGAGAGAGGTCCTGTAGGGGCTGATTGGTCCTCTGTATTATGGTAGACGTGATATCAGAAGCCATATTTGCTCAGGTTATCCCTGTTTTTGTGTGTTTTGGTTTTCACGAGAGGTATTTACTGGTGTATTAACTCTTTAAATACACCAGTAGAGCACCTCCTCTTTGTCATTGCCATCCAATCTGTAAATCTCTGTTGCACATCATCCATCCCCTTCTGTAAAAATATTACAAAGAGGATAGTTAAAGAAGTGTTTTCTGTGAGTCCATAGAGGAAAGTTCTGTATGTTTCACTACATTGTTGCGTAAGAAGTGTCCTAACGATATATGTTACTTAGCTTCATGTTGTAGTTTTTGGCTTTTATGAGGGTTTATTTATTCATCTCATCCACATTGATGTTTTCATTAATCCTCTCCTGTGGCACTAACACAGCCTGACACTTTTTTTTGTTTGAATATTTCTAATTTCCCATAAGAAAAATTCCCTTCTCCTCATTTAACCTCTGTGCTCTTGCTCAGTTTCTCAGTTCTCACTCCATATTTTAGCCTTTACAGATTCCTGTTCAGAGCATGCCACTTTCTCCTCACGGAATGAGACTGCATGTCTTACTACATTGCCACAAGTAACTAATTCTCTCTTTATTTTGTCTTCCCTCCCCCATTTGTTCTATTCACATTCTGTGTTGTATCCTGCCTGTTCTAAAACCTCGAAAAACTTTCCAACCCCCTCACAAAACAATCTAAACTGAACCTTTTGAATTGAACTAACCGAACTGTGAAATTGTGGAACTTTGCCTCCTGGTCTTGACCGAAGGCATATTACAAGCGTCAGGACTTAGCTGAGGAAAGAGACTGCTGGGACCTCCAGAGGGAGGTGGTGAAGCAGAAGTCGCTCCGCAGCAAGCGTCTCCACAGCATCCCTGAGGTGGCCGAGGAGGAATCGGACAGCGTGGACAGCATGGGCCAACGTCTTTGCTTTGAAGACGGCGGGCGCCCGGGAACGCCGCACACTCAGAGGAGGATGTACCCCCAGGATACCCACATGCACAACAATTTCACCCCCAACAAGACCTCCCGCTACCTGCAGCGCCAGCGCTCCTCCCCTCGCTTCACCGACAGCCGCTACTACTGCAACGCAGACGATCGCAGTCTGGGACGCCCCAACCGCCAGAACACCAAGAGTCCTGACAGCGGCTTAGACTGCGGCAGTGAGGAAGAGGGCTCTCTCGGTCGGGGTCATCGAGGGTACTACACTTATGGGAGCCCACTGCGGGGACCCGTGCGCATCATTCACTGTGAGGGCCCGGTAGAACGGCGAGCGCTGGCAATGGGCCGTAAAAGAACTTTGACCCGCCAGTGCAGCGTGGAAGAAGAGTTCTCCGACCTTCCAGTGACTGCAGTCAAGTTGGTTCACAAAGGTGACTTTAGGAACAGGGAGCACTTTGGGCCTGGTCGGGAGGCCGGGCAGCGAAACTACTCCAGGGAAGGGGCCCTGAGCGAGGGCCGGCTGAACGAGCTGGACAGGGTCTATTACAGCCCCCACAGGGAGGCTAGGGCCCAGTCTATGTCCAGGCTCAACCGGGACCAGCCGCTGGTGTGTGATCCACACTTTCTGCTGTACTTTCCATAAGCAAGCTACAGCCATTCTGTTTTCTTAATGTTGTTTGTTTTTTCTTTTCCCTTCCTTTCATTTTATTTCGCATTTAATTTTTATTACACGTTCATGGTTGGTCTGATTTTAATTTTGTGTGAATTAGTTTGCTTGTACTCAGAATGTCAGGTGGAGTTTCAAGTCAAGCTTTTTATTACCTAAAGGCCATTTAACTAAGTTTTGACTTCTCATGTCTTTGAGGGGAAAGATTCCACTTAAGGAGAGTCTCTGGTGCATGGGAACGTGCTGTTTCCATTTTTTATGCCCTTGCCCCTGCCAGCTGCTGGCTTCATATGTTGCTCTCCACATCTCGCCGTCTAGAGCGGCGGCTGCAGCGCTCCACCATGTGCTTGGAGCTTTATTTCGGCCTCTCATTGCTTCACATACAAAACAAGCTCGAGACTCTGGCAGCCCGCTGTGCTTCATTTAGCCTCCAACCCATGCACATCATCTCTCGCTCATCTCTTTCACTTGTTTCTGCAAAAAAAATGTCATCCTCACTTTGAAATATTAAATGTGTTGATTGTTGTAACACAAAGCCCCAGGATGCAACTATAATGGCTTTGCTCATCTAACCACATCTTTATCCATTTTCAATCACACTCACCCTCTGCCATCACTCTTTTTTCTTCTCATCCACTCCTCTCTTTCTTTTCACCATCTGTCTATTGTGCCATCATTTGCTTCCTTTTCTCATCAAGGAGCCGACATGCACAGAACAAAACATTTCAAGCAAATGGTCTTTAGCTAAACATCTGACCCTTTCGAACCCCCAGTTCTTGTTGTTGTTGTGTTGGGGGTTGATTTGATTTGATTGTTTGTTTTCGATGGTTTGTTGGATTTCTTTGTTGTTTTATGGTATTTTTTTTCCTATAATTTTGCCTCCCTAAGGACAAATGGAAACCACATAATTTGCTCTTGTGGTTTCCAGTTGTTTCAGCAGGATTTTGGGATTCTTTTAAACGGTTTTAAATGTCTACTTGTCCTTCTGTTGATTGCCCTTTTGTTGTTCTTACCTCTTATCTGTTGTTTTTTACTCTTAAGATCATTGGGAACTCACCGTCACACGGAAGCGCTGATCGTCTGGACCACTCAGGGAGGAGGCCGGTTCACATCGGCACCCCCCCTCAGCGACGACCAATCCCATCCATTGGTTAGTGAGGTCACCATGTGAGGAGACGCCTCATCCCCACCTGCAGGGCCACTGATGTTTGTGCTATTTATACCATATGTTTCCCTTACCCATGTGAGCCGAGCTGTACATCTCTCCCAAAGAGCTTTAACGACCTCGTAGACCCTTGTATGTGGGGTGTCCCAACACCCTGTAGCTCTCCATCCTCATGAGCTGGATCCAAATGTTCACATGCAGATTTGCAGGAAGGTTTCCTTAGATACACCCCTTACTCTTGTGTTTACTGTGGGTTAACATGTATTTTTTTTTTTTTTATACGTGACCACCAAATTTGACCTTCCCTGCAACAGTGAAAAGCATTGCTGTTTTACACCCAGTGACTCCAGAGTGAAACCTGTTGCCTTGTACACCTTCCCACCTCAGGGCAACCTCATCATCCTACTGTCTCAGCATGAGTGAGTGGGCCATGGGGTAGAGCAGAGTGTGTGTGTGTGGGGGATCTCTGACCGTAACGTTGTGATTGGTGTCTTCTGTAGAGATCACCATGGACAGTAACAGTGAGGGGAGTGAGGGGAACCTCTCACCCGTCAAGGAGGATGTTTACTATGGCAGTGTAGCTCGGCGCAGGATATGGCGATCTATGTCCTCAGAGGATCAATATGGTATGTGATACAGCTTCTCTCCAAGATGACAATTAACCTTAACAATGCCAGAAAAGGCCAAAAAGAAATCATTGTTGAACACATGCAGTGATATCATGGTGGTCTTTGTTCTGATAGCTGCTTTGTTTAGCTTATCTTATCTTAGCTGAATAAAGCTGACGGGGGAAGACAAGACTGGCCACTTTTTCCGTTGCTGGAGAATGAAAATCCTTTTCCCTGTATGTACTCCTACTCCTTCAATCCCAAGAAACCCCAAACCACCCACTCTTCCCATCCAACCTCCATATCCTGGCCACTCTCCCACTCCCACCTCAACTAAGCCCACCCTCCTCTTTCCTTTTCTTTCCGCCACCTCTTCTTTTCCTTCTCCTCCCACCTCTATGAGCCAGAGGCCCGTTTGCATTGTTGGTTTTTGCATGACCTGTTTACAACACAGTGAGAAGGAAAGACGCATTACTGGAGGAGTTTTTGCCTTGTTGGGATCATTCGGTTGCACGTTCATAAACTCAGCTGCCATCAAAAACACATTCTACATCTTCAAAAAAAAGATTATCTCAGTTGCTTAGTTGGTATTGGTTGCTATATCCTAGAGCCATTATTCAGACTTACAATCTGCCATTGAAACATTTAACATGGTGATCCATGAGAAGCATGGGGAACTGATATCAGGTTCATCCCTTCCCCCTCACTGTCCCTGATATCTTCGTTGCCAGGAACGACTGGGGCATTTGATGTGTCATCTCCCTTGGGAACGTTTCTCCTTTGCCTTTTTTTTTGTTTTTGTTTTTTTTGCTGCACATTGTTTCCAGGTTGTGGCCTAAAAGCATGACACTACACCTGCATTTAAATGTAGGAATGCTCTCCTCGACATGTCCAGTCCAAGTGAAAGCATGCATGTTGATCAGCCTCTGTGAGATAAGGCAGTGAAACAGCAATGAACAATAGTGCAGCGTTACTTGTGTCCTCCCGGTGTCCACAGTCTTTGAGTTTTCCCTTGCAACCCAAAAACTGCTTGACGTGTGTGTTTCCTGTGCGTGCTGTGTTGTACTGTGTCCTGTGATGTTTGGTGACTGTCACGCCAGCAAGCAGAAATGTGTGAACGAAGATCGCTGCTGTGCTACGATTTGTACTGAGCCTTTATTGCAAAGCATCCTTTGCTTTTGGTGCGTGAACGCAGCAGGAGTATCGTTTTCAAATTAAGAGAAATTAAAACAAAAAAACTACAATTATGCTATTTGATCTCTGGCTCTTTTTTCACACATGACTCTCATCGCCCTCTCCCCTGTCAGCTCTAACAAAGAGACATCTTCTGCTCTCATTGCCTCTGCAGCCAGCGTGGCTGTATAAGGCTGGTAGTAGCAGCAGAGGCCTCCTCTATGTTTCAGACGGCTATGGCGGTCGCAGGCACGGGCGGGGACGGCGTTCCCTGGATTACTATGAGGAATCGGAGCCAGAGGAGATGACCCGTGTGTTCGTGGCTCTGTTTGACTATGACCCCCTATCCATGTCTCCCAACCCCGATGCTGCTGATGAGGAGCTGCCGTTTAAGGAGGGCCAGATTATCAAGGTAGGGGCTTGAATCCTAAAAACACCACTCTACTGGGATGAATGTTTCATGCGTATGCCTCAGTGGTGTCTAAGATCATGCCTTTAGAATTAAAGATCAATTCTAGTAATCTTTGCAGGTTTGGTGGAATGTGTTTTTTGTTTTCGGCTGCGTGTCTCCCCCTGACACTGTCGTTCCTTCAGGTGTTTGGGAATAAAGATACAGACGGCTTCTACAGGGCGCAGATCCGAGAACGAGTGGGTCTGATCCCCTGTAACATGGTCTCTGAGATCCAAACAGAGGATTACGACATGATGGACCAGCTCCTCAAACAGGGCTTCCTGCCTCTCAACACTCCTGTGGAGAAGTTAGGTGAGACATAATTTTTCCTCTACCCGCTCCCCTCAGCTTCTTTTGGTTTTACTTTAACCTTCTTCCCTTTACATCTTTCTTATGCTAACTTTATGTTCTGCTAAATTGTCTTTTACTGACACATTGTCTCCTTTCCTCTACTTTTCCCACTTAATTACGTTTGTCTGCTTTCCTGTGAAGTGAACTGCGACCGTTTCAAAGATGGCCGCTCAATAAATCGCAGGTCCAGAAAATCCAAGAGAGGTCTGTGTCCAGTGAAACGCTCTGCTGCTCTCTGCTCTATCTTTTCTTCTTTTTTCACTCCTGACCATCCTCATTGATCTGTGAACTCGTTTCTCCTGTATGTATCATCTTTAAGCATCTCCCAGCTACTGTACTAACCTGGACATAGTTCATTTTGAATAATAAGATAAAGATTGTGGGACTTCTCAGGCTGTTATTTGTTGTCACTGGTCATCGCATCCTTCAGTGAAGTGTTTTTTACAATATAACCACTGATTACTCTTATTTTTCTGTCTGTCTGTTTTTATTTATTTTTCTCTTTACAGAGAGAAATAGGCGGAGCGGCCGTCAGCACCCGCTGTCGACACGAAGAATGGTCGCTCTGTACGACTACGACCCCAGAGAGAGCTCCCCTAACGTTGATGTAGAGGTACTTTTCTCCTGTCTCTCCAGCTTTCCACTTTGACTGGACCATTCTGTCATCGTCATCATCGTGTGACAAATGTAGAAAAACGTAAAAAACATTTCCAGGTGCACAGACAGTGAGATAGTTATTCTGTCATTTTGAAGATTTAAAAAAAATGATTTGACATTTTTAGAAATATGCTTATTAATATGCTTGCCAACAGTTTGATGAAAACATCCATATTACTCTTATGTCAATGTTAAATGTAATGTTTCAGAAGCTGGTTAGCTTAGCCAGGCAAAAAGGAGTGGAAACAGAGGGAAACAGCTAGACTGGGTCAGTCCTCAATTTTAATAAATCTACCTACCTGCACCTCTGAAGCTGACAAACACATTTCATTTTACAGCAGGAGAGAAGATCCGTGTGCTGACCCTCACTCTGGCCTTGTTCTTACATTATTTAAATAGTTAAACATGCTGATTTTGCGGTGTTAATTGGAATGGTTCCTTAAATGGTGAAACAAATGTATTGCATTGGATGTGGGAGAATTAAATGGAATTGTCTACACTGAATCTTATCCATCACCTATTCACTTATCCATTATGGGGAGCTGGAGCCAGTCCCAGCTGACGTTGGGCTGCTAGCGTATTGCAGGGCCGACGTACAGAGACACACAACCTACGGTCAATTTCAAGTCTTCAATTAACTTAACTCAACCCTGCATGTGTTTGGTCTGCGGGAGGCAACCTGAGCACCCAGAGAATATCCACACAGTCACATGAAAAACATGCAAACTCAACACAGAAAGACAGGAACTGAACTGGAACCTTCTTACTGTGAGGTGCTTCCCACTGTGCCACCCACAGATTCAATTATAACATGTAAATGTGGCATTAGCTCATAGTGATGACAAGGGCGGTGACTGCACTCAGCTAAATCTAGCACATAAACCACGTAAACCACAAACTCCTTTTTTTAATTAGTTTTGTGTTTGTATAAATATGTTTTTGCATGGATTAAGATTCAGTGTGAATCAGTCAGCTTGAGAGGAGCTGGTAGGTTTTTTAACTTCTGGACAGAGTGACGCTGTTTTCCTTCTCCTTCCAGCTTATTGTCATCTGGTGTTATTCTTATCTTTACCAGGCAGATAACAGAGTGGTATCCATCTTCTATTTGACTATTTATTTAAGATCAAGATGGTGCAGTATATACGAAGGCGAGGTTGAATGAGCAGTTTCAGTTAGCACTGTGTTAGCTCGAAGATTGAAAGTACTGTCCCGTGCTGTTGTTTTGGCCCCTCCCCCCGGTTTCACTTACTCTCACCTTTCTATTGGCACTGCCACCGACACAGTATGAGGGCAACAGACTGAATGAGGAGGTGAGTGAGGGTGAGGAGGGTACAGCACTGTCTGCTCTGTGTGTGTTTCCTCCCCCATTTGTTGGCGTGCAAATCAGGAGGTGGGCTTTTGAACGAGGGGCCACGGCCCTCTCTCCCTGGCGGTCATGAATATACAGCCCCTCATGCATTGCCCGAGCCAGCATCTCCCCTCCACGGTTTGGTCTTTTGTGTTGACCTGTCCCCTACACATTGTACACTGTACTTATGCTGTGTTTGGTTTGTGTGTCCTTAAGAGTCCCGTAGGAGAGATGTGTCCACTGTGTTGCAATCCTGTCTTCACAGTTCCAACATCTGATGCATTTACAGTTGTTCGTCTGCTGAGACTGAATTGACACTGGTGTTTAAGATGCATCACATTGATTTGGAGAAGGAAGCACAGCATTTCAAACTCATACAACCCCAGTAGATTTGATGTCTTGGAACCGTCTTTAACTCACATTGTGTAACTGCTGTAAACAACAACTACAGTACAACAGGGCAGATGTGTCTCAAGCCTCTTTTTCCTCTGACAGGCTGAACTGACTTTCTGTGCCGGTGACGTCATCATGGTCTTTGGTGAAATAGATGAAGATGGCTTTTACTATGTAAGTACCAACCACCTGTTTATTTGTCTATTAGACGAGAGTTAGTAGTAGTAGTAGTAGTTTAGTAGAGTAGAAACATCTTTACATAAAATCACATCAGTACAAACGTATAGATTACATTTACATGGACACCAGTATTCTGACTATTCACTGTACTGATGATAAGACATTAGTTCAGTTATGATGTTTACACGAGTTGCAAATAGAATATTACATTAATATTCCAGTTAACATGTTACAGAGCTTAACCGATATGGCTCATATCTTTACGTCCACTACGTCAGTTTTAAAACCCCAACCTGAAATCATTTAATGTTTGATGCTCCTATATATATATCAGTTGTCTTTTCTTTCTAATTTTGCAAAAGCTACAACTCCTTTTTTATTTTTTCATCTTGTGTACTTTCCAAATGCTGTAAAAACGATTATAAAACTTATAATGCGGTTAAGACGTATGCATGTATACATAATGTGACTACAGTCAGAATACTCCAAGTCTTAATTAGATTATTGCTTATTCAGAGTATGACCTTACAGGGATAGTTCACCGAAATATAAAAATTCACCCCTCCACTGTGCCGATGGAGGGGTGGGTGAGGTGTTTGAGTCCACAAAACACTTTAGGAGTTTTGGGGGTAAACAGAATAGCAGCCAAATCCAATACAGTTGAAGTAACTGGGGACTCCTTCTTCAGACATAAAAAATAACAATAGAAAATAACTTCAAATGCCTCCATACCGCTCCTGTGGTGTCATCCAAGTTTCCGTAAACCGAGAGCTGGGTGAGAGCTTGTGTGGAGTGTGTGTGAAACTGAATGCGGCTCCAGAGGAAGATATCACAGGAAATTTAGGCTAAAAATGTGGTGTAAATTTTAATTTGGGGCTTACAGACACAGGGCTTATCAGAAAAATGCTCTTTACATGTCCGTCTTATTCAAACTGTTGGATTATTCTGGTTAACATCAGAATGTTGGTCCATGTAAATACAGTCAGAGAGTTCTGAAGAGGGATGATTCATTTCGGGCATCCGAGGTCCTGAACATAAAAGTGTCTTTTTCTGCAGGGGAAAGATTTTTTAGTTGATTTACAGACTCTCCAGTCCCAGCAACAAGTCTCCATGTTGAATCATCAGCACAAAAGATGAGCAACTTCTAAAGAAAGATTAAGGTTCTGTGATAAAAAAGCCAAAAAATCAAAAGACATGAAAAGACAATTCCTCCCCCACATCCCTGCGAGAAACAGCCCCAGTGTTTAAAGTCTGCTGTGAGCTCTGGTCATGCCATGCTGAATTATACTTCATCGAGCTCTGCTAAAACATTCAGCCATCTTCAGATTCTGGGTCAGATGAGTTTAGCAACAACAAAGCGAACTGAATCTGTTTAAGCTCTTTGTGCCTCAGACTGGAGTCTTCACCCCAGCAGCAGCAGCGAGGTATTGTAGCAACACACACCACATTAATATCTGAGAAACAGTGATGAACAAATATTTACAACCTTTTAGAATTATGTAAATATGTTGTTAATATATTCAGGAGAGTCCCATGTGTCCTCGTTGACCATGAAGAAAAGTGTTGCACTAAATCTCATTCATGTTCTTGAATAATATTGGTTATAGTCATTTCTCCTATAACATTACATTACAATAGAATATTAAATTAGAATATTCAAAAATGTGTAAACTTCAGCCAAGCAGGGTTATGTTACAATGAAAAACCGGATCCCTGTGCAGCGGCTGTTGTAAACCTGCCTGTTTGGAATGGGCTGCTTGTTCGTCCTGTGCTGATGCTGGTCGCAGTTTTGTTTCTGAAACTGTAAAAGTGACCTGCACTAATTTACCAGCGGCAAATAAAGACCGACTCAAACCACAGAACCCTGCAGCTGCTGATTATTACCGTTTATTCAAAGTTCTGTGAAACTGAATCAGCACGTTGAACACAGAACTGTAGAATTGTTGTTGTGATCGTCGTTGCTGCTACAGTGTGCTGGTTCACCTATTTATCAACATTAAGTGTATTGTGTGTCCAAATTGCACCCTTAACATTTATACCCATGCCAAGTACGAAGCTGAAGATTGTTCTTGAGATACAGTATGTGATCCATATACAGACGGACAGAGACGGACCGAGATTTCTGGAATTGGTTCATAGATAAGAACACAGAACTATCTAGCTCTGATAGTAGAGTACAGCTCAACCCACAATTGTCTGTGTTGACTATAAAAAATATTATCCGAGTCACAACCTGACAGATATTCTGTTATTTTGCCCGAACTTGACCTGAGCCTGATGTTTTCCCCGATTAGGTACATGCTGCTAGAAAAAACCAACAAATATCCTTTTTGTGTGATCCTGACCCGACAGGCTCAGGTCAGGTGACCACTCTCTAAACACAGGAGCCAAAACTGTTGTAGCAGCGAGGCCGGCTCTTTTGTTTCTGTTGTCCACTGAAGACATTGGAGATGAATATGAGATCAGAGTTTAGGATTTCAGTGAATTAGCTGCAGGGAAACATAACGTTGGCTCGTCCTCTCATTCCTCATCTGAATTTCTAAATGTGTTGATAAAGTTTGATACCACCAGAGGGCGTCTCACTGTTGTGTGCTCCACAGGGCGAGCTCAATGGACACAAAGGACTCGTTCCTTCCAACTTTCTAGAAGAAGTGCCTGACGATGTAGAGGTTTTTCTCACTGACTCACCATCTCGATACCCCCAGGACAATCCAGCTCGGATAAAGACCAAAAGGGTACATGCTCCTTCGCAGTACTAGCCCTCTGTCATCCATTTACTCTCTTTCAGTTCCCTCTATCTCCTTTAGTTCTGTGTCTGTGTTTGTGTGTCACATTGATTGAATTGACTCAAGTACAATGGGATTTCTGACTTTGGAGCATTACACTGTAAATAAAATAGATGTCTATGAAGATCTATGAAAAAA